GAACTTCAAGATTCTGACCTGCAAAGCAGAGGCCAAGTAGTGTGGCAGTAAGTGGGTCGAAACAAAACTGTCCTTCTCATCCCAACCTAATGAATTGAGACTTCTGTGTTTAATTTGGATTAAACTGTTGCTGGGTCCATGCATCATCCATCCATTTTGTCCATTGAGATAAAGCTTGGTATGGTCATGACTGATGGAAGTGGAACAAGAGCCAATTCCTTCTCCACCTAAAAGTTGAGCTTCCACAGCCCACAGATGTGATTCCAGCTGGTTGATACTTGATGGAAGAAAAGGTCAAAGCATATATGTCTGTTCATCTCTTCACAACTTTCTTGGTTTTTTGCAGAGGCAAAAAAATATGCCCAAAGATTGGGCTAAGAATGCATTGCAGCACATCATTCACATGGTTTCAGAGTTCAGACATGTATGGAAACCATAGACACAGAGGGAAAGCTCCTACCCCAAATGACAGCCTAGATGCAATGAACAACAGAAGGAAACAGTCATCACATTAGTTTATTTATGAAGGTAATGTGTAGGATGTGACTCAACAAAGAAAATGAAATCTATAAATTAATCCATCTACAACAATGACCATGTATATGTTGCTCAGAAAGGAATGTTAACCAAGGACATAAAGCTTAATCCAAAGCATGAAGTCAGAGTTATATCACAGCAGAGCATCTGCTGGATATTCTTTAGAACTTTGCTTTCTAGTTAGAGAATTATCATGCTGGAATAGATTGCAGTGAATCTGTTCATCAACTACATACATATGAAAGATGGTTCACATGAATATCAACACTTGCGATTGATTATAAATGACAATTTTTTGCTGGTTCGACACAACTTGGCCATCAGAATTCATTCTGGGTCGAAAAAAGTTGCAGTTCAAAACATTGACTTCCACTAAAGAATCAACTTCTCCGAATGACATCTTGCTGGGACAATATAATGGTACAAGATGCAATTCGTTTACTGTGCATAAAGGACAGTAAAGGCTTTGTTTGTCTGAAGGAAAACAGGACATTTTGCTAATCCAGGTAGATTTCTTGAAGCAGTGCGTTGAAATGCTTGCTGTTCTCATAGGAATTCAAGAACTTATATCAAGAGGTTATCAATTTGAGGTCGAAAAAATCCAACTTAAATTAATGTCAGCAGCAGACTTTTTTTATCCGCATAAACAATTGAGAAATCGCAAAGAACACATCGGTTGTTGACCGCAACTGCAGCTGGCTTTCGTGACCTGCGTGTGGAAGTCAAAAGTAGTCGTACGATTCCTCAAATAAGAAAACGAAAGAGATGATATCGGCACAAGAAAACACTGAATAATGCATCAGAAGTGCAAGTTGCCTAATGTTCAGTCCGAGGCATCTCATCCTTTGTTTCTGAAACATGGAGAAGAATGAGACAACATGTGCAACTCTGCGGCCTCCTGAATTCTCAGTCTAAATTTCATATAGCCGAAAAACCGAGGAAGAATTCCAGAGACAATAATTTAATATAGTTGGATGTGGTAGGAAAAACTATGATGGATCCACTTCAACTGCTAAACTTGCATAGACTTCATAAGAATATATTGTCATCAAGCATCAATCAACAAGGACTTAAATTTAGGCAGTATCATATCCAAGTAGCAAAATACATGTTATTCTTAAGTTTGTGTCTTTTGTCATCCTATTCAGCAAACAAAATTCTACAATGATACAGTGGTTTCTTCTATAGAGATGTTTACCGGTAGCTATCAGGATTTACCTATTCATGAAGCAATAGAACATCATGTGCCACATCTTCAGGAACCAAGCAGAAAACATCACACAGGAAATAGTGGAAGATTCTCCAAAGCTGTACTGCAAAACACTTGATTAGCTTCAGCAAAAAACAGTCTGAAAGAATGAAGATTGAAGTTGTTATTTCTGAGTTCTGATTATATAGTGTTTACTGATTGAACCTTGATGAGCAACAAAAAGAAAGCTAAGATTCAGTTTGAAGACTATAAACACTGTATAATTGTTTGATGAGCTATGTGCTCTCAACTATTCATCAAAATTATAGAGTTCTGAGTTCTGATTAACTAAGAAAAACAAACTTAATTCTTTTAGCTGACTATGATATCATGTGAGAAATCATAGCTCTGATGCTAAAAAAAATCAAATGCATATTTCCCAATGTGCTACCTGAAACATCAAAAAGTAAAAAAGTCACAGTAATAAGGTAGTCAAAACTAAGTTGCAGAACACTATTTGGAAAGAAGCTCATTGATTCCTCCCATAACCACTTGCCTAGCTGAGAAGTACAGGTTTGCTTTTTAGTGTTCTGATTCAAGACTATGTGAAGGTCAAGAAACCAGAGGACTTACTGTCGATCAACATGGCTTCTACCTCATCAGTGACGAGACCTCACTGACAGATAACCTATGTTGTGTGGGAAGAGGATATTGGGCTACTTGAACAATTGGCCTACTTCAAATCTAAACCCAGCCTGACCCATCTGCTTTTAATCCTTTGACTTGTTATTGCCAATTCAGTGAAGTGGGCACTAAACTTGCAATGTTTAGTGCCATGGAGCCAAACAAAAAGGCAACAAAGCTACAAGTAAGCCAATTCAGAAGACAAGCTAACTTTATAGCGATCTCAGTGCCTGGTTGGTGCTTCAGCAAACTTAGGCTACTCGGTCCTTCAATCCCCATCCAACAGACCAAGGATATGAAATGCAAACAGCTCTGCATAAAGTCATGAAGCCATCACATGGTTCCTAGTGGCTCCAATGAGGGTCCTTTCAGAAAGCCAAAAGTATAGAAATCATTGCAGATCCTCATATTCCTTTTGTTGGAATGAGAGAGGCCATGACACAAACTCCCATCCAGGCATAGAATAATGCTCTTCAACCAAGGATCCTGAGGAAGAGACATGTGACTAGTTATTAGAAAGCCATGTTCCATGACCTAAAAGCTTGGATTGTCCCCCCACTCTAGCGTCTGAGAGAGAGGGGGGTTCAAAGCTGAAAGAATCTCCTTCACCAAAAAAGCACATGATTGCAATGAAGTGGCAGCATTAGGAGAACAGAGCTTCATCCCCTCAAATGCCATCTCCCACTGGTATTACGTTGCCCACTGGATTCCCTCTGGATGCTAACCAGAGTTCCAAACTTGACATTGTTGAGAACAATGAGGAGTCTTTTTCTGCTTGTGTGAGGTGGTGTTCTGCTGACACCCCGCTGTTCGAGCTGTGGCCAGAGAAGTCTTTGAAGCAATAGTTGGTTGGCACTCTGGCACAAGCTGAGCAGGAAATGCGAAGGCCAAACAGTCGCATGAACTGTAAACAAGAAATAATGATGAAACATTGAGCCGAGTGCTTAACACGCACAGAAATCCCTCGCGCTTATCTCTGTTTGTGAGGATATGGGACACTGTTCCTGCTAAAATTCTACATCAGGTTCTTTGACTTGCCTTTGGCTTGTCGCCACAGTAACTTCTCCACTGCACTTCCACACACAGCATCAGATCCATTAATATGCCCAAAGATATGCTCATAAAAACATCTCATTATGATCGTCAATCCAATGTCACCAATATCCATTTAGTGATCTCGGTGAAGGGTCGGCTGCAGCATCAGTTAATGCGAGATCAGCCTGCGAGATCTGCTTTGGAGTTCGTGCCACCTCACGCTCGCAGTACAGTAGAAGCGGGTCCGCCGTCGGATATGCTGGGCCAAGTCCCGCCGAACCGTTTGATCTTCGACCAGGGAGTAACTCGTGATGTAATCTAACCATGCCATGACAAACTCCATGTTCCCCATGCACACGTATCGGACAAACTAGTGCGTTTTGGACTCTCTTGAACATGGCATTGCTGCAGCGTCGATGATAACACATCTGAGCACCGTTTGCAACTTGTCTCATCCTACCAAGGAAAGAAGGAAATATTTACTACCTGTGTTCCACGCTGATGTTGGATTAGGACTGTTCCCGAAAGTTTTAAGTTGATGGAGAAGACACGGGGAGACTATTATGGCCAGTCGGGGGCCCCACAGCCGATGCCCAGTTTCCCTTCGTGGCACGTTTCGTGGCCGGTCGGAAAGCATCTCGTGGCTGGCAGGAAACCAACAAGCGGGGGGGTGACTTCCGTCGTGAGGCGAGGGCAGTTTCGTGATTCTTGGGACGCCCTCGAAAGAGACTCGTCGGAGCACCCACAACCGCCTGCCCGAAATGCCCCTCCTAGTTGGAGCATCATTTCTCGGCGTACATGGAAAGGATGGGCAGCATGGTCATTTTGATCATTTGTTGGCATCGTCGAAGCGTACTGCAGGTCACCTGTCTCGTTTCCACCCCACAATTCCGCAGCACGGCGACACGAGGAGGAGGAGATCCACCGTCATGATATCACGTGGCGACCCCCTTACGTGGCCGCCACACCAAGGAATTCGAACAAGTAAAAGATACGTTACGAGACCATGGGACAACCAACAGCAATGTGATCTACTCTTTACCTGATGCAGCAGTCCTTGGAGACGACTTCCAAAAAGAGTTGCTGCTGCAACGCCATCACCAAAACAATCAACCGCCCCTTCTTTGCTCTCGTCTCCGTATAAAGTTTAAAGGTGACAACCGCAGCAGACTGCGTTGATGGGATCAAAGATGAGGAGGATTCGCCGTTCTCGTCACGTGCTCGGGAGCACGGCGACCGCCAGGGGCCGTCGGGGTACCGGTCAAAGCTAGACGGTGCGGAGCGCGACAAGGCCGTCACGGGAACACTTCACAGGAATCTCAGCCCCTGCAAATACAACGTCGATTACCCACTCCTCCACCCATCTCGGATCGCCACCGGGTCCCGCGTCGGTCTCCTCCACTTGCGACGCAGGTTAGGGTACGACGGGAACGGGTGGGGATGAATAATGCCGCTCTGTACCCGCACAAAAAATGATCACTTGCGTGTCGGCATCGTGTTCGTCCTTATCGTGGACCGGACCGATCCTAGTGCGAACCGGTCTATATAAATGAGCCGCAGGAGTGGCGGAGTACTTCATCTTCAAGTACGTTGGGCTTCTTTGGTCGCGGCGTAATTTCCCGATTCTGCGAGACCTCTTTGTTTAATGGTATAGATGACCGCCTCCGCCATGGTTACCGACGTCGCCATCTCGACAGAGGCTTTCCTCGACCGGCCGGCGGCCTTATCGGCCTTCTGCCGCCTCGGCTCGAGGATCTCCCTCGGCCGCGATCTCATCGCCGCCGACAAGGCGGGGGAGCCGGCCGACGTGGGCCCTGATGGGGAGGATTCTGGTGGAGACTTCGTCGACTTCGAGTTCCGGCTCAATCATCCCGTCGCCATGCTCCCTGCCGACGAGCTGTTCGCCGATGGGAAGCTGGTACCGCTTCAGCTGGCGGCGACGAAGCCGGTGTCGATGCACCCCGTGGCTGAGATCCGCTCGCCGGAACAGCCGAAGTCGCTGAGGGTGGCCCAGGTCTCTGGTTCGGACCCCTATGTCTTCTCTCCCCGCGCGCCGAGCTGCACCAGCCGATGGCGGGAGCTGCTCGGCCTCAAGCGGGCGGCGATCACGAAGGCGGACCACCCCGAGAACGTTTCGCCCGCCCCTGCTGCCGCCAAGTCCAATAACCCTAACCCTGACGCCCGATCCCTGAAGCATTTCTTTCACCGGAACCACAAATCGTCCCCGCTCGAGCCGTCGCTGAGCCTGCCCCTCCTCCGCGACTCCGACTCGGAATCGGTCTCGATCTCCGCCCGCCTCTCCCTCTCCTCTTCCTCCTCCTCCGGCCCGGACCACGAGGACCTCCCACGGTTCTCCCTCGACTCCGACAAGCCCAACCACCACATCCCCATGGTCCGGCTGGTCCGGCCGCTGCCGGCAGCGACGGAACTCGGACGGAGCCGGATCAGGCGGACCGGGTCATCGGAGATGGCCACACCGCCGCCGCTGACCGTGCCGGTGGACAGCCCGCGGATGAACCCGTCGGGGAAGGTGGTGTTCCACGGGCTGGAGCGGAGCTCGAGCAGCCCCGGAAGCTTCACGGGCGGGCCACGGCCGCGGCCGCGGGGGATGGAGCGGTCCTACTCGGCCAACGTCGTCCGGGTCGCCCCGGTCCTCAACGTCCCAGTATGCTCCCTCCGCGGTTCCGCAAAGTCCAGCCCGGTCTTCGGGTTCGGCCAGCTGTTCTCGCCGCCGAAGAAGGAGAAGGCCGGGCCGGGCGCATCCGCGGCTCGGAGCGGTGGCAGCGCGAAGACCAAGAGCGACAAGGCATCGAATTCGTGGAATTAGGCAGCAAATCCCGCCTCTTGTTCATCAAAGGTCGTTCCATTACCCGTTCAAATTTACCCTTCCTTAGTACTGTTAATTTCGGCTTCTTTTTTTCGCCTTTGGAATTCCCCTCTCCAAAATCTCTGCACGACGATTCGCCTGTAAATATTTGTCTCGCGCAACCGTTCTCTTCTGTCGTCTTGCGCTTCATGTAATATTTATGTGGTCTGTTGTTGCTGCGGTGCGGTGCGGTGCGGTGCGATGCGGTGAGGTGGATTGGATCTGCGGGAGCGCACTACGGGCCATGTGCTCGACGCCTCGATCGGGGCGCGCATTGCCATGCCTTCTCCTCCTCCTCCTCCTTCCCCCCTCCCTCCTGCCTGTCCTCGTTGGCCGTACACCTGTACCCCATGTGATGTGCACGCCCTTCCAAGCCCACTTGTGACGGATTAACCCGCAGGGAGTCATATTTAACCCCACAACCCATGGGTTGGGGTTTGTCAACGGGTCGTATTCTCTTGGGAAACGAAGCAAGATATGAAATCAGAGGGTGTGCTGTCTCTGAGGAGCAGCAGCTCTGTGCTGAATTGTTTGCACGTCGGGCGGATCCCAAATATGCCGGTATATAAATTTAATTTCCACTGTTTGTGTTCTTCGGCTTGTCTTGTTTGGACTCGCTGAGAGAGAGAGAGAGAGAGACGGTGGTTGTCATCGGACGGTCCGTGCTGTGTCTCAAAGCCATTTTGTTCCCCCCTCTCGTCTCGATCCTTTTGGATTAAATTAAACCGCTGGGAATTTAACTATCGTTGGGTTCGGTGTGGCGATGGTTAACTGTACTTTAGTGTTTAGGTGATGGTCGGATTGTCTCAGGGATAGTGACAATTAAAATTATAAGGATTAAAATTGTATTGGACTGAGATCCTAAGATCGAATTAATGGTCTCGCAAGATTCGATAAAATTGTTTGCACGTAATAATAATTTATTGTATCCAATTAAGAAATATGAAAAATATTTAATTAGAAATAAAATCTTTTTTAAAAAATATTAAAATTAAAAAGTATAGTATCACTCGGTCGAGCCAATAGAAAAAAAAAAGTCGATATTGATCAGTATCGCTCTCTCAACTTTCTATTTTAGTTCATAGAAAGACCTAAAACGCAGGTGTTGCCTCACATCAAATGGTAGATTACAGATCGATTCAAGACAGATCCTCTTTTTAGAACAACCCCAAGTCACTCAAAGCTGATTTGCAGCCAAGAATGCATTGAAAGTGATCATGAAAGATCCATCTCTTTGGTATAAACTTACTTTTTTTTTCATTTAATATTCTTCATCTACAGCATCTGTAACCACAAACATTGTGTTGGCACCAATCACTTATATATGAGATAAGATTCTATGTAAATCTTCTAAAGAAGTTCGAAACCACACGTACCAACTCGACACAGTATCTGTGTCAATAGTAGAAGATATCCACGAGCAGAATGAATGAATGAACAGAGGGAAGGAGCTTTGAGCAAACCTGTTGAGGAAGAGAAGGCGAATGAATGAAGCCAAGCTTTCCTGTTGGTTGATGCGGAGTCGCGTCTTGCCTTCTTAGCTGTCGATTGCTAGCATGGAGAGAGGGAGACAAGGAAACAAGTAGGATTCGCACTAATCAGACTATCAACCTAAAATTTGGATGATCTAAACTCACAGGTTAACTTCTTTGTATCTATAAATAAGCATGGCAACTAAAACCAAGAAGAGATTACTGTCTTATCAATCTAAATTCGTCTTCCTCAATCTTCTTACAAGCCATCCCCTAACATTCGTTTTCGTATTACCTCTTCCTAAGAATTAAAAGTCATATTTAGTCCACCGGCATTAAACTTTGTTCTGTAAGAAGGCTTCATCCCATTTGGACGCAGCATTTGAAGCAGCTCCATTGTGGCGGCCATGGATCAAAGGAGTTCTGAAGGGCCCAGGATCCATAAAAAGACACAACAATTGCTACCGAGGGATTTGGATGAGGAAGCCATTTATCTGCTTCATGATCAACACACAACAATTGCAAGTGCGGCCATTAAGCTTTTCTAGATTTCCTCCTTGAAACCAGAGAAGGCTACGCTGATATGTCGTATATGGTGGTCAGGTCTCTCGGAACATAAAATACAAGAAACTGATACCTTTCTTTTAACTTCCTGAACATAAAATAAACGACTCGTCAAAATGAGAAGACAAAACCCTGCAAATCGAAATAACGTTCATAACATAAAATAAACGACTCGTCCGTTCGAGATTTGATCTCTCCAAAATCCTCGTTACTGTGTATAATGATGCTGCTGTGAGAGGTATTCGCTTGCAACCACAACTAAATCCAGCAAACAAAACATACGAGATGTAAGGGAAAGATATTTAGACTTGTCTGAAGGATAAGTCAAGCCAACTCTCCCTTCTCCAAGTTGTCATCTTGGTTTTAATGTACAGCTGCGTCATCAGATTCTCTATTTCTCTGGATCAGATCGATGCATCCAACCCCATCACAGTTTTCCTTTAGTCGGACAACACAATCATAAACAGCACGAAGATGGCATATAAAGCTAGGAAAAGACAATGTTCTAAGAGCCACGAAAAGGTTTTAGGCTTGCGATAAGTGACATGACAATAGCCCACACAAAATAATAAGATTACTTAATTACCCTTAACTTAATTCATTTTAGAGTGTATTTACATGAAGAAAACGAACTCTCTCTCCATTCGTCCTTGTCTCTCCCTCCGACTACCTCTCCCATCGTCTTCAGTTCGCCTCATCTCCATCTATCACTTCTCTTTTATATGTTGCTCTCCATCTTTTCTTTATTTATCTTCTTTTGTTAATTTATGGCCCACTCCTCTACGTATAAAAATCCTTACTTGATAATCGAATTGCATTTTTAATTTTTAAATATTATCATATATTATTTAATTTAGATAAAGATTTATGTTTAGGAGGATAGTTAATATTATTAATCTTATCTTTTTTTTATTTTTCTAAGATTATTCTTTTTTGAATAATTTTGGCATATTAGATTTTTATTAATATTTTTTTAGAAAAAATAAACTAACGGTAGAATCTGACCCAGCAATTATATATATATATATATATATATAGATAATTGTCCAAATTATAAAAAGAAAACTACAGTGTTCAAATTAGCCTAAACCAATTTAAAATCAGTCCAAATCGATTCATCAATATTTTAATTTTAAAAGTTATAAATGGTTTTTAATTTAACTAGTTCAAACTGAATTAAATTAATTTTAATTTAAAAAATATCAATTAAATTTATTATTAAGTTTCTAATCAATTCAAACCGATTAATCAAATAGGATAGATAACTAATTTTATAAATGATATGAGGTCAATTTCATAAATCTTATCATAACGCTGAGATCAAAATTTCTGATTTAAATTAAATTAATTTATTTTAAAAAATTATTTAAAATTATAAATCGATTAACTGGTTAATCGAACCGGATTAATAAGTTTTGAAATGATTTGATTAAATAAATTTTAATTAATTTTGATTCGAACTATGCTACCTTAATCGAATCGAATCCCAAAAACACAATTCGATTCGGTTCGGATCTGAACACCCGGAAACTTGCTGATAAGAGCATAAGACCCATCGACGTGGATAAGGCCATCAAACTAACGTGCAGATCTGCCGTGCATCCGCTGGCAAGGAGACTGACATGATCACCTGATTTGACCAAAGAAACTTTTCAGTCAACGTGAAGATAATTATTGATTCGATCATCTTATTAGAAATTTGAGAGATGAAAAACTTGATTTTATTAATCCTATCATTATACTTCTCATTGGTTTATTATTTATTTACTTTAATAATGTAATCACTCCAATCATTTCCTTTGTTTTAATGGTGGATTCACAATCATTTTGAAATTATCGAAATAATTACCAACTCTACATATATCAGTCTATTATCTTGGTTTAAGAATTTTTTAGTAAAATTGATTACAGATGAATTAATTTTATATTCGATTATATTTACGATTTTACTAATTGGGCTCATTAAATTATTTATTTATTTATTTAGTCTAAATTAATTAATTTTATATATTGTTGTCGGCTTATTAACGCCATTAGAGAGAGAGAGACGAGAGACGAGAGGGTAGTTGATGTCAATTTTTTTTTTTTTGGGACGCAACGTCGACGCGGTTTCAGTTCAGAAGAAAAGAGAGAACGCGGAGGAAGGAAGAAGAAGCAAGAAGAAGGACTTAGAGACTTTCCTCATCACTCCGAAAACTATATCATCATCAGATACCAGATCATATTTGTCATTGCTTTCTCCACTCCACCCTCTCTTGTTATCGGTAGAAATCTGCATGATGAATCCAGCATCAGAGTCTCGATCAAGTCCTCAGGTTGTCGTCTTCTCATCCCTTCTTCTTCTTCTTCTTCTTCTGCAACCAAACCGGAGAAGTTCTCCCTCACGGATCTGCTCGCTCTTTCACAAACACCACTCCTCCTCCATCCTCTTCTTCACTAATCTCATGTTTGATTGTCTCGCAGCAACACCAAACCACTGTTAATTCCACGACCGAGATCCAGTTGCGGCCAATAATCGATGACATGTTTCAAAACTCATGGGAAGCTGTAAGCACTCAGTTCCTTCTCAGCATAATATGAATCACTGTTTATTATTTCTGCTTTTTTTTCCTTGAATTTCCTGACACATCTTTTTCTTTTTGGATCCCCAAAAAAAATTTACACATGCAAGAAATTAATACAAGTGATTCTCAAGCCTTTGCTAAGCTTCTTGGAAAGATATGCAACTTCTTAAGACTTGTTTAAGCCTCAAAATAATTTTTTGATAGGACAAAGACACATGTTTTAGTTCTTCTTCTATTTGCTTGCTATAAACAACTTCCAACAATAGGTTTTTCTGTATCGGATGGAAACATGTATTTATTCGTTGCGTTGTCTTATTCATGTTTATCGCTGCCTTTAGATCTTCTGCTTCTTCTTTTCTCAAGAATCTGAGGATTTTGTCTATCTTTGATTCAGGCAGAAAGAGGTTATGAAACATGTAGCTATTATGAATCCAAGTTGAAGCAAATCCTACAGTTCGCCTTCATTGATATCATCATCAGCTTAATGGCAGTGTTTGCAGTTTTCATAGCACAGCGAGATCTGAAAGGCCATGCAAACGAATTGCACCTTCTCATCTGCGGCTACCTCACCACCTGCAGTCTTCTCTGTGGGGTAACCCTAATGTTCTTCACCATCAATTTGCTAAGTCGCAAGAATCAGAGTGTCCAAAGAGGCCAGCATACGACCACCGTTTTCCTACTCGTCATTTCATGCGCTCTCCTCATCCTTACAGCAGCTGGTTTCTCAACTCTCCTCCATAAACGCTCTATGTTTCTGGCAGCCCTGCTTCCGGGATGTTTGCTTCTCGGCACCCTCCTCTACTTCATATTCCACGCAGGCGATGATCATGATCAGAATTCCACAGGATATGGAAGCTATAAATCAGAGCTGAAACATTCGTTGGGTCTCTCATCCACTGTTGTCTCCCTTGCATTCAGTGGGCTGATAACTACTCTTATTGGGACCGCTAAAAGTAATTCGGATCAAGCCCTTACCATAAACACGAAAATCTGCATCTTTCAGATGTTCTTCGCCGCCATGTTCGGCCTTCTGTTGATGCTGCTCAGCTCAGTCCCACCGAGCTTCAAGCAGCAAAGCACCAGGGAGTTCCTTACCAAGCTCCTCAAAGCACTCAGCTACTCTCTGCTGGGCTCATTGGCACTCATAGCCGCTACGGCGGCTTCTGCTTTCCTTGACGTCTTCCTTGTACTGGTTCTCCTGCCGACACCATTTCTTGGAGTCACTCTTTGGTTCTGCATAGAGTGGCACAGCACCCAGAAACAGCCGCACGGACCGCGCACTACTACCAACGTTGGTCATGATCTCAAGCTCAAACTCATTTCCAAGGTCGGTACTACCACGACATCCATCAGCTTCGGAGGTCTTACGGGCGCCTTCTCAGGATTTATCGGCAGAAAAGGCAGTGAATTGCAGCTCAAGATCTGCGTGCTGGTGATGTTCTTCGCATTTCTGTCCAGTTTCAGCGTGAAGCTGCTCACTTTCAGTACTCCAAAGCCAGGAACTCTGATGACAGTTATCAAATCCTTAAGCACTTGCTCTGTCTTGCTGCTCCTATTCTCTGCCATTATCGTCTTCTTCCTCGAGTTCCTGGGTGGCTGAGCACAACGAAAATTACTACTTACTTGCTGCTCGGGGAAATGCTCATGTCACGTTGAAGTCAGTGGGATTCGGTCATATCCTGAGAGATCAGATGGAATGTGAACATTGCATTTGATTACAGTGTAAGTTTCTTTTTTACTTTTAGAAAAAAAGCTAGAGAATTTGATTACAGCATTAGTTGTTGTCATCACAAAAACACCCCAGCATGGCCCATATGGTTTTAGGGCTTGTCCATAAATAGCATAAGATTGATGCATTGATTGCTCACTGTGTGCCCACATGACTTCCAGAGACTTGTAGGGTTCATAGAGATGTGGTCCATATGTTTGAACTTTGGTTTGGCCAGCTCTATAAAAATTCGATTTTCATAAAAAAAAAAAATTATAATCACATATGAAAATGATAAATTAAATTTATTTTTGCGACATCATTTAGACTTCTTATGTTTCTTTTATCATGTGATCAGAGCAAAATAATCAATTTTAAAAATAGTTTCAAATTAAGGAGCTTACAAATAAAAATAAAAATTGATACATTCTAATTCTAATTCTAATTTAAAATGATAAATTCTATTATCTCTCTTTTTCCATATTCATCCTTTAGTTCTTTTATTTTTTTATATTATTATTATATTATCGATCAATGTCTGTAGCCTCCTTTACATCCTAAGCATTATCTTTTATTTGGAGATGGATTTCTAATAGTGTGTGCTCATGTTCTTCCTCTACCAACCTTTCATAATGTCTATTTTGTGTATCACATCAATATCTTTAGGCTTTTCATACTCTTCTCTTGCCACCTCTGTCCTCTCGTGGAAAATCCAAAACTACATGGATTTTCCATCTTTCTACAATATTTACAAACAGATCGGTTCCATAGAATGTGTTCCTGATGAATATATGTATCGATAAAGCATGAGATTGCAAGAATCTAATGGAAAATATGTTAGGTTTCCGATTGCAAGGTGCCTATTACGGTGGTATGTTTCAGAAAAATGGTTACTTCCTAGCAAAACCTGTGGATGACAGTGCTATCGAGATGGAAAGGCAGAAGTGAAAGCATAAGATGCTAACCTCGAAGTCCGGAAGAAGTCTATCGTTACATATATCCAAGATCGGAGCAGTTCATGTGGAAGATGGACGACAGTTCCCTCAGTATATCTGCAGAGAAGCAAGATGATCAGCTGCTGTCCCTATGACTATCCTGCGAGCTGTACTAGTGAAATTATTTGCATAGAAGATCTGATTAGGGGAAATGAAACTCGAGCGAGGGAGTCTGACCTGAAAGATGATGATGATGATACAGTGATGGTGCGAGCAGTTCTTACCAGATCTAAGATGAGTTTTGAGTACTGCCTGCAACCACGGCTAAATCCAACAAGCAATACAAATGATTTTGAAGGACAGAAGATGCTCGTCTCAACTTGATGTAATGTATTCTTTCCCTTCTCCAAGCTGTTTAGGTGCATCTGCATTTGGCTGGACTAAGAATTTTCTATTACCCGTAGTTCATAATTAAAGACTGTCAACTATGTTATATATCAGTTAGTTTAGCTCTTTCTGTCAGTAGCTCACGGACTCGGAAAAATGATCCCTACTCCTGTCACTGTTCTCCATCACAGCTAAGTAGGAAGAAGTGACAACATAGCAAAAGAGATGATCCAAAATTCATAAAAGCATTTCAAATTATTAGAAACCCAACTATGTCTTTAAACATATATTGCTTTTGAGAAACAATCTTGATAGTAACAGAGAAAAATATGACAAGCTTCAATCTTCTATATTTCTCTCAAGAAAATTTTTATAATTTCAAAAACTCTATATCTTTAATGACCTAACATATTGTCACGGACAAACTTCTAAATATGATGTTTGATATAATGCTATGTATGTCCGTGTCTTTTGGTATGTTCATACTTTGCACCGCATGTAGAGGGATGGTCAAATGCTTAATAGTCTCATTTTAATTGGGTTTGGTGGCTGCTTTAGGCTTATAAATAAATGTTATGTCATGTGGACACTTGTGAGAGATTTTCGATCTGTAGTGGACCATTTTGATCATTTGTTGTGTAACTGTTCAGAGCTTGTAAAGTCTGTTTGTAATTTGAATTATCTATGAAGTGTTTATTGAAATGTTTGCTTGTGGATCCCAAGTGAGACGCTTTCTCTAACTCGTTTTCTCTTTTGTAGGTCCTAAGGGACCATGGGAGGTTTCGGGGAGACTGATCTTTGCGGACGAACACGCAAGGGTGCCGCACGACTTAGGCAAAATTAACTAAGTCTGTGATAATACGGGGTTTATATAGTCCACAAATATACATTACATTAATCGTATTCAAGATGAATCATTCTCTTTCAACAAACCCTTTCAAGAACCAATAAACAATTTGACTTATCCTTTCCTAGACTTTTAATATATTTTTTCTTAACGAATCTCAAACTTTTCTTTTAATGAAATGAATATCTTTATGACACTTGAACAAATTTAATTCCAACAGAAAAACCTAATCAACTGCATTCTTTCTTTGAAAATTTCTTCTCCACTTGATATGAGATGATAACTAGCTATCTCATTAATCAACGATCGTCCAAAGTTGATGGATATCATGACCTTCGTCGGAACAATTTTAATCATAAAATATTTACTCCAGTTACTAGTATTTTTTGAACAATCTTCTTTATATCTTCCGAAACGACTTCTTTATATCTCGCTCAAGTTTCAGGTCAGACTCTCTCGCTCAAGTCATTACTAGTAGTTTTTGAACAATCTTCTCCTATATTTTTTTTGATATCTTCCAGGAACGACTTCTTTCCATTTGATATCGACAAGTGTTTCAGATCGGACAGTTGAATCATCTCTAACATCTCAAGACTCCATTTGCGGCACCGATGACTCTGCTCTTCCTGGATTTCATCGTCGTCGGTATGCCCCAACTCCAACTTCACTACGCTATCGCCGTGCGAGATTTCCAGCCCGCCACAAGGAGCTGTCGTGATCAGCAGGCCACAAGTAGCAACTTCGGAAGCACTTCTTCTTCCCGTCCGTCGCTAATCTATCATAATGAATTCTATAGTGAGAAAAGTATGACGGATCCATTGTCGAGGAAGACTGAAGCCACTCAATCGGGGCGCGGTGCGGTGCGGTGCGGTGGATTGGATCTGCGGGAGCGCACTGCGGGCCATGTGCTCGACGCCTCGATCGGGGCGCGCATTGCCATGCCTTCTCCTCCTCCTCCTCCCTCCTGCCTGTCCTCGTTGGCAGGCGGATCCCAAATATGCCGGTATATAAATTTAATTTCCACTGTTTGTGTTCTTCGGCTTGTCTTGTTTGGACTCGCTGCGTCGATCGCGTCGCCCGCACCGCGAGAGAGATAGAGAGACGGTGGTTGTCATCGGACGGTCCGTGTTGTGTCTCAAAGCCATTTTGTTCCCCCTCTCATCTTAAACCTTTTGGATTAAATTAAACCGCTAGGAATTTAACTATCGTTGGGTTCGGTGTGGCGATGGTTAGCATGAGCTAGAGATATAAGAATATAACGACCTAAACCATTGATCAAGTTATTTAAGTTTCAATTTGTAATGATATATTCATCAAATTTTAATAAATTAATATATAAAGACGTTACATTTATAAACCTGAATCATTTATATAAAATATTTAAATCTAAAAGCAGTAGGTAGAACTGGAGGAAGAAGACAATGGCGGCGAATTGGAGAAACAAGACGAATGCTTAAGATTTTGATAACTCTCATCATAGTTCCTGCCTTTGGAGTCATGAAAGTAAGCAGCTTCAAAGCTAAAAGTCTATTAATCAGTATCTCTCTCTCATCTTTCTATTTTAGTTCATAGAAAGACCTAAAACCCAGGTGTTGCCTCACATCAAATGGTAGATTACAGATCGATTCAAGACAGATCATCTTTTTAGAACAACCCCAAGTCACTCAAAGCTGATTTGCAGCCAAGAATGCATTGAAAGTGATCATGAAAGATACATCTCTTTGGTATAAACTTAATTTTTTTTTCATTTAATATTCTTCATCTACAGCATCTGTAACCACAAACATTGTGTTGGCACCAATCACCTATATATGAGATAAGATTCTATGTAAATCTTCTAAAGAAGTTCGAAACCACACATACCAACTCGGCACAGTATCTGTGTCAATAGTAGAAGATATCCACGAGCAGAATGAATGAATGAACAGAAGGAAGGAGCTTTGAGCAAACCTGTTGAGGAAGAGAAGGCGAATGAATGAAGCCAAGCTTTCCTGTTGGTTGATGCGGAGTCGCGTCTTACCTTCTTAGCTGTCGATTACTAGCATGGAGAGAGGGAGACAAGGAAAGACGTAGGATTCGCACTAATCAGACTATCAATGGCTCTAATAACTTTATTAGATCATTCTAGATTTGATTACTCTAGATTTGGATGATCTAAACTCACAGGTTACCTATCCACCTAAGATACCATGCATGCTTATTTATAGACTTCAAAAAATAACTAAAACCAAGAAGAGATCATTGTCTTATCAATCTAAATCCCTCTGATACAGCAATGTTTTTTTTTTTTGTCTTCCTTTTACATTTTCTGTAAAAGCCATCCCCTAACATCCGTTTTCGTATTACCTCTTCCTAAGAATTAAAAGTCATATTTAGTCCTCCGGCATTAAACTTTGTTTTGTAAGTAGGCTTCATCCCATTTGGATGCAGCATTCGAAGCAGCTCCATTGTGGCCATGGATCAAAGGAGTTGTGAAGGGCCCAGGATCCATCAAAAACACAACAACTGCTACCGAGGGATTTGGATGAGGGAGCCATTCATCTGCTTCGTGATCGACACACAACAATTGCAAGTGCAGCCATTAAGCTTTCCTAGATTTCCTCCTTAAAACCATAAGGCTACACTGATATGTCGTATACGGTGGTCAGGTCTCTCGGAACATAAAATACAAGAAACTTATACCTTTCTTTTAACTTCCAGAACATAAAATAAACGACTCGTCAAGATGAGAAGACAGCAACTCTCCCTTCGCTTGCAACCACAACTAAATCCAGCAAACAAAACATACGAGATGTATGGGAAAGATATTTAGACTTGTCTGAAAGATAAGTCAAGTCAACTCTCCCTTCTCCAAGCTGTCATCTTGGTTTTAATGCACAGCTGCGTCATCCGATTCTCTATTTCTCTGGATCAGATCGATGCATTCAACCCCATCACAGTTTTTCTTTAGTCATGTGGGCACACAGTGAGCAATATATCAATACATATGGGAAGCAATTTCACCTGTGTGCATGCATATGGGAAGCAAAAATAGTACAAATCAAATCTTGCAGATTGTCGAGGACAAACATGTATAGAAAACTAGGAAGTAGCAGAATTGTAATGGAGAAGACGACACAATACTCTTTGTGCCAAAGCCTTCAAGACCAGCGGGATTGTTCATCGATGCATTGCTTCAGTGAGATGATTGATCGATGAGTGCAATGGCCACCGGAGTTGGCAGAATTGACAAACCAACCGACTCAGCAGCCGCCATATCTGACCGATCTTTTTCTCCGTACGTTGGATTCTAATTAAAGAATAGGTGAGTTTCGGATGGATCTATTTGGATCATACCTTAATCGAATAAATATCTCTCGGTCCAAACTTGGCGCGTGGACCGACCGGATCGAATCTGAGTTAGATTGGACCAAATGTTACGATATCACACGTACTATTGAAGTAGCCGTAGATCCGATCAATATTTAATTTAAATCAGAACAAAACTAGAATAATAAAAAACTAGAATCGAATCGGATCGATATAAATTAATGGAATCTGATTAAATAAAAAAAAAATCTGAATATCCCTACAAAAAAAGACAATTGAATCGAGTGATCAAATCGAAAAAATTGAGAACTAAATCACTAATCAATTTGATTGGCTTATCAGACGATTTTGTTAAAAAACAAAAAAATAAACAAAATGAATGAGTTTTGCATAACCCACACAAAATAATAAGATTATTTAATTACCCTTACCTTAATTCATTTTAGAGTCTCTCTCCTTTCGTCCTTATCTCTTCCTCGGACTACCTCTCACATCGCCTCGTCTCTTGTGTCTTCACTTCGTCTCATCCTCAGCTATCACTTCTCTTTTATATGTTGCTCTCCATCTTTTATTTATTTATCTTCTTTTCTTAATTTATGGTCCACTCCTCTACGTATAAAATCCTTACTTGATAATCGAATTACATTTTTTAATTTTTAAATATTATCATATATTATTTAATTTAAATAAAGATTTATGTTTAGGAGGATAGTTAATATTATCAATCTTATATTTTCTATTTTTCTAAGATTATTCTTTTTTTACTAATTTTGGCATATTATATTTTTATTAATAATTTTTTTAAAAATAAACTAACCATATAATATATATATATATATATTAAATTAAATTAAATTGATTTTATTTTTATTTTATTTAAAAATATATTTAAAATTATAAATCGATTAACTAACTGGTTAATCAGAATGGAGTAATAAGTTTTGAAATGA